GCACTCCACCTCCATCTCTCACTGCCACGCCTCCACCTCGAACTCTCACTGCCCTGCCCCCTCCCATTGGAGGAGAAGGCACTCCACCTCTAGTTCTCACTGCCCCACCCCCTTTCATTGGAGGAGAAGGCAGAAGGAGAGATAAGGGAAAAAGACAAGCCGCCCCCCCCAGGCCTGCCACTGCCACGCCCCCTCCCATTGGAGGAGAAGCCGCTCCACCTCGAGCTCTCACTGCCCCGCCCCCTCCCATTGGAGGAGAAGGCACTCCACCTCCATCTCTCACTGCCACGCCCCCTCCCATTGGAGAAGGAGAAGGAGAGGGAAACAAAGAGAAGGAGAATGGGAGAAATAGCCCAGAGCAGGCTCCCGCTTCCGCTGCATGGCTCATCATTGAGGGGTCGAATAATGATGTGGAACGGAGTAGTGGTTCTCCTCGAGTGGGTGCAGCCCCTCTAGGTCTTCTGGGGTCTTTTCTCTTTATATTTTTATAAGATTCTAATATTCTAGATTTGTACAAACTTGTTTGTAAAGCCTTTTTTTAATAAACTCGACATGTTTAGAAATTGAGTTTTTTTTTTTTTTTTTTTTTTTTGGTTCAGTTTTCTCTTCCATTGACCGAAGAAAAATCTTGTAATTTCTTGGACCACTTTGTGTTTTATATGGTGCCTGTGTGTTGTTCATACTAGTAGTTTCATTCGTTGCGATGATTTCTATCGTTCTTCTAGCCTTGATTCCTTCAGTTTTCTCACCTGCCAAACATAGCAGAAAAGAAGAGGTTACAATAATTTCAAAGTGTCAAGAAATCACAGTACAACTACACGGTGAAACAAAAATTTCATATCTCGCTATTTTCTTACCATTTGAATCCAAGTAGGGTTTTGAAGTCTCTGAGAGGAAAATGAGTGTTGGGGTGATGACAGTGAGGACAGTCAGAAGAAGAATATCTCCCACTTATTTGTTGCCCGTTTGGTGGGAGGCAAATATTATGTTTTGAGGGTTTTAATAGAATGATTGAAAGACAGAAAGAGGAAGAGAGAGAGAGAGAGAGGAGGGGAGAAGACCTGAACTCATTAGCTGGCCATGCCCAAATAATTTTGAGATTATAAAATACAAAACTTATTTTCACATAAATTGTTCTCATGGTTTTCATAAAACAAAGTCAAGTAATAACAACTTAGCAACTACACTTGCACTTGTGATTTCGTTGTTCAGTTGTTGGAGGGTTGTTATACCAATTAGGTGTATGATTTGGACATCTAGACTATCTGGCATCTCAAAGTCTAAGTCAGAATCTCCCACATCCCAACTGGAAATTTTTTATTAAGTGGTTTCGTCAGCAAGTAAAGCAGAAGAAGAACGAAAATACAGGAAAATATCACGAAAACACAGATTCATGAAGAGTGAGAATATATATTTATGCAAGATAAGTTGCCACTGCACATTAAATCCTAATTGTATGCAAAATTCAACATATCTACGGATTTTCCAGAGTGTTAACATGGAAAGTGTTCAGAAAAACTAGAAACACTTGAACACTGCACTTCTCTCGTTCACTTTTCCTAAAAGCTGGTACCACCAAAGTTTCAGTCTGAACCACCACTACTTGTAGCTGGCTTCTTCCCTGTATACCTCTGTAAGAACCACCAAAGGGAACAAGTAAATATGTTGCACTTACAGAAACTCTCAAATAAAAAATAAAAATTTCGACCACAAATTTCGTTTCAAAAGGCGTCAGCGGAGGGGAGGAGATGGTTTAAGAGATCAAAGGGTAATGGTGGCTGTTCAACATTCTAGAGCTCTCACCTGCTTCCCAATGCTGAATGGTATATATTTGTACTTAATCATGTGCAGAATTTGGCGCTTCATTGTAAGAACAAAAAGAACAATCCAATAACAGAGGAGAATGGGCCAGAAAACAGGGACATCAAATATGGAAAAGAAGGTCATCAGAAATGCCACACAGAAAGCCTTTGTAATGGAATACCTGAAACCACATAAGCAAAAGAATAAATCATCGATTCTCAATTAGTAGTCGTAAAAGCCCACCAAACACATACCAACAAACACATACACGCACGCTTTAGTTGCATACATGTATGAGCCCACTGCACAGCAAACAATGTGTTTGTACAATGACTATCCTCAAATCAACAAAGAACCATCTTCACTACTGAAGTCATTCCATGCCTTAACCCACAAAATATATTTGGTCATTCTGTTGTTCCTGAGGTGCAATCAGCTGAATGTAAATGATAAACGATCACGTTGACTTATCAGGCTTCCTACTAAGTTCACACTTCTTCCATTCTATATAAGTAAACACCTTTTAAATACGTACACATAAGTAACCAAACATTTTAAATTAGCTATAAACCTAAAGTTCATACAACCGAAAAAAAAAAAACCAGTGCAAAAAAGGAAGTAAAACAATTCCTATATAATATGACTAGATTTGACAAGGGAAGTTCTTCAATTACCAGAACTTGAACTCGGGTAGCCGGCGGATGAATGGCTTAAACTCATCTGAACCTCTTGTTGGCAGTGAAGCCCCATCCAAGGCTTCAAGCTCTGGATCAACCTTTGGTGAGAGAAACCCAATCAATAGATTCAAGATATAGATTCCCAGACCATACGACACAATGTAAAACCCTTGAACATAGTAAACTCGAAGCACATAGATGGCTGCTACAGCAAGAGTCCCCAGCCACCTATAGACAGGGTTAGGGGTCGAACGGTCCAAATAGTACTGAAATGTCCTTGAAAACTCGTCTCTCCACTTGGCAAACGGCGCCACAGCAGAGCCAGCATCAGCCCCCACTCCTTCCATGAGATATTACCCCCTAATTTCCTGAGAATCCAAACGAAGCAATAGTTTAATTTAAAAGATTACACTTGGTCTGGTTTCCAAAAATCATTTAAGTATGCAAAAACCAGATTGAATGCATGGCCAAACAGTTCAACTCACGCATATATTAATGGAAAATCTCACCTAGCTCCCAAGTAAATAAATAATTTCTGGAACATAATTAATTCGGAAAACAAAACCCTAACTAATCTCTCAAATCCATTCTGTGTTCAAACGTTTTTCTAATCACAAAAGACGATTTCTTCCTAGAAAATAAAAGAGATTACAAAGGTAGGTTTGATTATTATGCCAACAAATCCAACAATTTAGTCTAATTTAGAAAAATCGAGGGAGGGAGAGATAGAAGACAGCTTTACCTCGAATAAAAGCGAAGTACCAGATGAGAGAATCTATTTCTTATATCTAAATTCTAAGCGGATCTGTGTAAATTTCTAAACTTATTTACTAGTTGAGGACGAAGCGATTTGTTCGTGTTTATCTGTTTCTGTTTTTCCAGAAACGGAGGAAAACCAGGAAGGGGAAGATCCTCGCACGCAGTCTCCAATTGCGCCCGCGCGGTTAAAGGCGCCGAAACGCACCGCATAGTGCCCGACTCATTAACCGCTTCGTGCCTGACTCATTAACCGCGTCTTTGAAAGGCCATTTGGTTTAGCGGCTAATTAAATGGAAACGAGGGGATGTTTTAGTAATTTCAGAACCGGGAGTATGAAAATCCTATTCTACCCTCCCAATGCTTCGGGATATTCTACCCTACCCCTTCCAATTTGGGCAATTTCCTTCTTTCTCCGGCCTGCTTCACATCAGACATACACAGAGACTCAGAGGAAGTGGCAGTGAGTGGAGCTGTTGGTAGCTGGTGGAAGTGACAAGAAGATGGGGACTTTAGGAAGAGTAATATACACCGTCGGATTCTGGATTAGGGAGACAGGTCAGGCAGTTGATCGCCTCGGCAGCCGCCTCCAAGGCAGCTACTACTTCAAAGAGCAGCGTACTTCTCGCCTTTTCCTAACCCTAGATCCATCTTTATATTAACCTTTGAATTTCGGATTGAATTTTTCTTTACTAATTTATGGTCTGTTTGGTTCTCTTTTCGGGTTGATTTAAACATCGCAGCTGTAGAATTAGTATAAAGTCTATGGCTTTGCTTTCAGTTTTACCTGATTGTTTTACATTGCCAATTTCCTTCTAGTTCCTGGACTATTGTTGGTCGGTTACGGATATTGTCTTAAATGTAAGAATGTGTGTCACTGCCCACTAGTGGATTACTATCAAGCTAGTATTAATTTAAAAATTAGTTAAATGGGCATTCGTGGAATCGTGAAATATTTATCATTTTTGTAAAATCAAGAAAGAGGAGGAACTAAAAGAATGAAAATGGACAAATTTATAATCTGCATCCGTAGTTTAGCTCACCTATTTTGAAAAGCTAATATGTTGTAGCATAACATGTCCTTCGTTTGTTTACATGTAAGATTCAGGGTTCTCTGGTTTTGCTTTCTTTTTTCCATGCAAGAGGGTAGTTATTATGTTCTTTCCTGTAGTGTCTCGGCATCGGACTCTGATGAACATATTCGATAAAGCTCCTGTGGTTGACAAGGATGTATTTGTGGCCCCAAGTGCCTCTGTCATTGGCGATGTTCAAGTGGGAAGAGGGTCTTCTATTTGGTATGGATGTGTTTTGAGAGGTAAGAACTCCTTTTGAGGCACAGTAATAAACGACATATACATGATTTTCTAATTACTGTGGGACTTTTGGAAAACGAAAGTACATTCTCCCTATGCTGCTTCTTTTTTGTCGATGAGCTGATGATCTGGGCATCATATGTAGAACCTCTTTATTCTTTTTCATTTGTTAGGTTATGCATACATACGTTGCTGATAACCTCTTTGCATGTTCGTTTAAATTGTTACTGATGCACTTTGCATAATCCTTAGAGTTTTATATCAAATGATCTTCAGGCAAGACAATCAATTTGGAGATGAAACTAGAAATAGGCTTCAGCTTATTACTTACCTTTTATTGGGGGAATATGCAGTGTCGGCTGTTCTTGTTTGTCTTTCTCGTAGTTTAAACTTTGTACATTTGTGTCCTGTTTCTCATTTTATATGGAGGTTAGCAATGATAAGAGTAGTGCCTGCCTTTGAAATTGTCTACTTAAAGTTATTGAACTAGTTTACCATGTAGTTTGGTAGTTTTATAGTGTGGTAACTGGTTAGATATAGGACTTCACCAACATGTAGTCCATTTATTGTCGGTGGAAAATTCTGGTTGTTGTCCATTTAGGTATATGGATATAAGTTGTTTTGGTCTATGGAAAATTTTGGGGAATATTTATAGTGGATTTTGGTGGTAATTTGTAAAATTTATTTGCACGCAGGTGATGTGAACAACATCGTTGTTGGATCTGGAACTAACATACAGGACAACTCCCTAGTCCATGTGGCTAAGTCTAATTTAAGTGGGAAGGTGTTACCAACCATTATTGGGGACAATGTTACTGTAGGTGAGTTATTATGCTATCGGAGATATGTTTTATGTGAATTAGCTTGATGGTAGTCTGATTAATTTTCTATAAATTGTGAAACAAAAATTTGCATTGAGCAGGCCACAGTGCTGTTATACATGGCTGTACTGTTGAGGATGAGGCCTTTGTTGGTATGGGAGCCACACTGCTTGATGGTGTTGTTGTTGAGAAACATGCCATGGTCGCTGCTGGAGCCCTGGTGAGACAGAATACAAGGATCCCCAGTGGAGAGGTATGTTTAAAATCCCTTCTACTGACCCTCTTTATCTATGTATTGCAAAGAATATTGGAATTCTTAACAAGCATGCAAAAGAAGTAGCTGAGAATTTGGATCTATTGCTGTTATCACTATCCAGATCACTGACCCTTAACGTGTTTTGCTTTGTTTTCAAAAGATTAAACAAAAAAATGTGAAATTCTATGAGTTATGATTGTGCCTGGACAAAGTTAAGAATTCCATACGGCCTTACTTCTATCAAAACGGCCTTGTTATATTCTAACATCTAGTTAAGAACTCTATTGAATGCACAAGCTTAACCCAATTATACCATGTTCAAGGAGGGTGACATAAAGTGACGCAGGGATGAATGGTGTGGGAGTCTATGTTCTTTTTTTAACCATTCTCATGACCTGCCGCCAGTGATCAAAATTTCAAAATTTACAGATTCTGGTTAAAGAAGTTGAGTTATACTAGCAAAATTTTTGTTCTTTGATGTCCATTTTAGAAATAAATGGGGAGGTATATAAATTATTTTGAAATCTGGCGGTTGAGCAATCCTGTTACAATTAAAACATTGGTACTGTGTAAAAACAAAACCCTTATTAATGTTTTTACCGAGCTGGAAATGGTATGTTACGATTTCAGATTCAGCTTTATCCAGCCAGGCTAAAGTTGGGGCTTTCCTTTCTGGCAGCTAATAGAAAGCAATAAAATACATTTGTGAAATATATATTGCAGGTATGGGGAGGTAATCCAGCAAAATTCTTGAGGAAGCTCACAGATGAGGAAAAAGCCTTCATCTCCCAGTCAGCCACCAATTATACCAACCTTGCACAAGTCCATGCAGCTGAGAATGGGAAGTCCTTTGATGAGATCGAGTTTGAGAAGGTCCTCCGCAAGAAGTTTGCTCGACGGGATGAGGAGTATGACTCAATGCTGGGTGTTGTTCGTGAAATTCCCCCAGAACTTATTCTTCCAGATAATGTATTACCAGATAAAGCACCAAAGGACCAAAAATGATTTCGTTAGTTGTTTTGTTTTTCCTCTTTCAACTCAAATCTTGAGAGATTTGGCGTCAAGGAATATTTGTTGTTAGGTGCAAATACACGGAAAAGGTATCATTTCCTTTCCCAATAATACCCGACATGTTTTAGGGGCAGAACTATGAGTCTTTTCTAGCCATTGGATCTACTCTTTTCGCGTTTTTTTGTTCGGAAACAATATTTTCTGCTTTGGCAGTTTGTATGTTGATGATGTTTTTTTACTTCTTTCTTGTATCCAAGGTACCTAGGTTCTCGATGACTTGGTTGATTTGCACATCCATCTATCTAGTAATGACTCATATTAAGGCATAACATGACACATCTCTTCCTGCAAGCTAACGTTTGGCACTGCTATTTTGTTTCTTGGTCATTCTAATGTCCCCTCGCATGAAATGAAAGATTATACTCAAATAGACGACACGTGAGAAGATGAAATAACAGAGTTGTGGTTGAGCCTCTTGTAAAAGCAAGTTATTCCATCCAACAGTAACCTCTCAGATGCATAAGCTGACCAGCTAAAACCCTAATCCCAAGCCTACTAGCCTAGGCACTAAGGCAGCCACACACATGCATGATTATATTTTTTTTTTTTGGGTTCGTGCAGGAAGGAATGGTGTCGAAGCAAAACTTGCGCCATTAATTTTGCATAAAAATTTACGGATAAAGACATGTAGATGACACGGTAATAGTGCAGATTGCAGATAAAGTTCTGGGTATATTGTATTGTATTGTTTATGCTCCATTGTCGAATCTTTTTGGAAACAATTATTGGCTGATCGGATCTTAGAAAGCTGAAATCCGTGATTTCAGTTCAAAGTGAAAGAAAAAGCTGTCTCACCAATCATTCAATTGAATTAAGGGCGCCCGAGATGAAAGAGGAATTCGTCCAAACTGCTGTTTGTTTCTTCGTTTTCATTTTGGAAGAAGAAAATTTCCATTGGATCTGGCCATTTGCTTCAAGCCTCACCATTAGCTAATTTAGCTTATACCTCCTAGCTAGCCTCCTGTGCCCACGGGTTGAAAGTTTGTGTTGCGTGTACGCACAAACACACAAATTCAAACCATACACCTTTTCTCCTTAAAACACGGAGAAATGTTTATAAAACATGTTGCATGGAAATTTTATCCACTTCGGACGCGTCTATTAAAACAAAACAACACAACCAGTACATGTGATTTGATTCTTCACTATTTTTAGTTTCGTTTTGGATTCTTTTTGAATGATACCTTGCTATTCTAGTCTAGTATTAGAGAACAGTTCTTTCTGAAATGGGGTACATCTCTTCTCAACTCTAGTTCATGAATTATGAACATTATTACCATATACAGAGTAGAAACTTGGAATGTATAATGCTTTTGGCTTCCAGACTTTCATTACAGGAACATCATTATCAGAAGGACTTCAAATCTTTTAGTTAAGAACAATATAATACAGAATCTCTGCCATAATGATAGACCCTACCCTCCGTATAAAAAAACAGATAGACCCTATCCTACTCTTTCCGTCCAGGGAATAATAAAGGGCCCACTTTGTATAGAAATAAAATCTAATAATATTTTATAAATTTAAAAAAAAAGGAGTTTCACTAAAACACCCAAAATGGAGGTTGAAATTATAAAAAAACCCAACACCCAAAACACTTTATAAACACACCCAAAACCCATCATTATACACACTCAAAACCCATTTATAAACACACCCAAAAAGTTGACTTTGGGGTTAATTTTGGGTGTGTTTCTATGTTTAAATAGTGCTTGGGTTTTTTTATAAATACATGTCTAGGATTGGGTTTATTTATAAATTTGTAAAAAAATAAT